CTACGCAGGCATTTGCATTGTCCAATATATACACTGTAAAATCGGTAAAATTGAGACTGTAGATGTAATGGAGTATTCAGGCCAGATGTAAACAAAATACACTCCCAGAGTTAGCTTTTATTTGTCATTGGAGGTTAGTTACATTAAATATATGATTGCCTACGAGATAAGACACTCTAGTAATCCCAAAATAAAATGAGCAGAAGGAGAGGCCAGTGTATGTACTTTTAATATATTATATTATTTTAGCTAAAACCTCATCATGTTAACGCAATTTATGTTTTAGCTCTGGGAGTGATGATTCCCATATTTGCAAAGTGGGAACGAAACTTTGAGACCTGCTGCACCTAACGTTGAAGATAATTCAAAGATCCCATGTGTAGATAAAGGCGAGATTCACACTGAGGTAAACAAAAAATGTGTGATGATAAAATCAATTCTGGTGCTATGATTTACGGGTCCAATAGTGATTAAAACGTCTTCACTGTGATCACAATATCACGTGTGCTACCATTTATGCCAAACTAGGGCAAGGTTCGTGACAATTCATAGCGCTGTAGAGCACACTCAAAAAATAGTGGAACTCACTCAAAAAACGATTTTAAAAATAAGAGGAAACAAGCCACGCAAATAAATCTGTCAGTACTACATGTTTCAACATTATTAAAGTACACATACAAATAAATACATATTTTATATTCAAGTTATTTTTTAGGTTTCTATATTATTTATTTTTCAAATGAAAAAAAGATCAGATAATAAAGTGAAATAGAAAATATTAAAATCAGTGGTAACAGTATTCAAAATAAAATAGTTACATATAGACAAATAATATTCCGACTATCAAAATTAACAAAGACAAAAACTAGCATACAAACGCACATGGCGTTATTTAAGAAGTAAAATGTACTAGAGAAAAATAGGCGTAGTACAATACCTACAGTTAAAACCATATGCAAGGCTTTGACATTTGATCCAAAGTTGAATTCGAACACTTTTACATGTGATCAACTATTAATCAATATTTTACAAATTTGAGTTTAACAAATAAACAAATGATACAAATAAACATAATAATTGAGGCCTGCTGAATAAAAGCAGCTACTGTAACAGGAAATCCGATATGTTCATACAATAAGGCAAATATTAGAACATTTTAGCTATTAATACAATCACAATATGCCCAATGTTTTAAAAAAAACAATATTTTAATTAATTGCACATTGTGTCACTTGTGTATCAGACCAAAGTTTGATGTCAGACAAGGGGATGTAACTTTCATAACAATGTATGTTGATAAGCCGAAGACACGTGTGTGCGCATGTATGTAGTACTGTTAATGTAAAAGATGAACAGCCATACAACACGTAAGTAGTTACAGCATGGCGCCGGGGGCAATCCGGGGTCAGACCGAAGCAATATGACCCCATCATGTACTAGATGCGACCGTTGTATACCCTTTCATCCTGGCAGGCAAAGCTAAGATCATTTCAACATTGCAGTCACCATCGTTGTTTGTAGGTAACACTGAACTTTACACGGAATAACAAGAGCGCAATTAGTTTAGTTGACCCCTTCACGGTAAGCAGTAAATAATGTTAAATCCACCGACGGACAACTATGATGTTCCCCACTCCACACTCAATATAAAACACGATAAAAGATGCCGGGGTATCAATAACCAATAAGACGCCACGTGTCATTGGATGGATTTGTCGTCAGGTGTATGCGAATATAACATTTCTGTACAGACCCCCACCAATTGGTTACCCCTGATCACTATCACGATGGCTCGGTATTGCGCATTGGCATTATCGGCGAAAAGCTATGTCTCTGTCGTACGTGACGCAATAGTGTATCCACTACACCGTCTATGATACCGTCCAATATTAATAGTTGCTCGCCAGTAAACTGGGATAGAACGTAATTTATAACTTCGTTTTTAGTAGTCGGCCTGCCGATTCCGATTCGCATACGAACCATAGCCTAGAAAATAACGGGAAAATTGTGTTACTTGACAAACATTCCAGAGTGAAAAACATATAGGAGTGGCATTTTCCAGCCGAAATAGTACACCGTGCTCTGTAGAATATCTTTTTTTTAGTATTAATAATTTTCACACATCTTATTGAAATAATATTTCTGTTTATCATTTCTTTCCTTTTTGTCTTTAATTGGCGTAAACTACAATTATAGAAGTTAATGGCATCGATTGATGCCGTGCACTGGGTTAAACGTGACCGTACGTCACCATTTCAAATACGATGAAGTAACCTGCGGTTCAAGTGTCGCAAACACGGGAAAGTACGTGGAAACGCACGGGGCAATGTTACAGAAATTACAGAATGACAGATGAATAGACGTTAAACATCACACACAGTGGCGGCGGCCGGGGGCGGTCGCGTCGCCCCTCCAGGAAATAGCGTTTTAGAGGGTCTAGATTTAAAAATGTTAAGGGGGAGAATGCCACGGACACCCTAGTAAGGTCGCGTCTTAGGCGCGAGGTTGGTGAGCAGATCTCGCCCCGCGCAAAATTTCGTGCGGCCGTCTCTGACACACATCATACAACAACGCTGTAGGCAGTGACGGAATTAGATGAAGCCACCCCTCCCAACGCACACACCAAAGCCGTTTCCGTGTTTCATACATGCATGTCCCACAGAGCGGAAATGACGTCATTGTGAAGATGCGTAACCTCTAACCATTCTACATCCATCCCTGCTTGTTGCTCTTTCTCTTTGGAGACTCACCTCTACTAACATAAATGTTATAACAAAAATATAACACATGTTTTTTGTCATTTTGGGGTAAATTCGAATTTATGTGCTCACTTGTGTAAGACACTTCGGTATTTAACGATGTTTTGTGATTTACAACCCTTGACGTCACATGCTTCTAATGTCCAAGCTGTTTCCATGGTATCAGCATTGGCGGCTAATTGGAATTATTTTAAACTGATAGTGACGTGTTCTATCCTCGTACATATTCATTAATTCAGGGGTCGTGTCCCTTTGAACTCTCCAACGCTATTGAACTCTCACTGTAGTGTGTTGTTAAAGTACACCTTGTGCCGCGAACTCAGGCGCAGGCCGGTTCATCGGGAAGTCACGCGGATGTTTGCATCCGTGCTCTTTATACAGCTGCCCTGGTTATGAACTTGTAAACCAGAAGATGACCCCAGAATCCTGATTTCAACTTGACGCGACCTTTTCAAACCAAGCCTAACCTGGGACCTAACCCAACGAGCAGGCCATGAGGTGAAACGGCCATATATTCACGTTTGGACAAGGTTACCTCGCTGTCAATTCCATCATTTAGAAATCACCTAGGACGTTTCTTCACATTGCTATTAACAGGCGTGGTTTCTAAAACAATATCCGTGTCGCTTTTAGCACGTATGTGGTATATGGGCAGCTGACAGTGTATGGCACCACTTGTATAATTCGTAAAACATTTATAATTCGTATCACCTGCGACAAATCAGCCTATGGAGCATTTAACCACGATGTGGCGCTGCTAAAATCACTTTTGTATTTTTGTATTCAATGTATTTGTATTCAATGTATTTTCGGGAAATTTATACGGGTGTATCGAATCACTGTCCTATCATAAAATGTGTTTTGAGTCATGTGATGTATCAATTTGGATCACGTGATTTACCTTATAAAAAGACATGTTACTTTAGATAGAGAGACTTAGAGATATAGACTCAGAGAGATACTCAGACAGACAGACAGACTCAGAGACACACCGGACCTGTTCCATGTGTTTGCTCTCTGGGCTTGGCCGTTTGGCCAACGCCCAGATACAACTTTTGTACTTTAGGCTTCGTTACCCTGATGTCACCATCCGAATAAAGATCACCGGTTCATACCACTCTCTGCTTCACAGTCTCAATTCTCTATTGACAATGAAATGAACAAATCTTAGAGAGGTCCACATGTAGTATCTACATGTGTATTATCAAAGCAATCTGTTTTTAACAAGAAGTCAAAAATATCACTTTTTACCAAAAATGACAAAAATATTCACTAAAATCAAAGAATTGAAGATATCATCACAAAATGAACAAATCTGAGAAAGGTCAACATGTAGCATCTATATATGTAATATCAGAGTAATTGGACTTGCGGTTTTAAACAAGAAGACGAAAATATCACTTTTCACCAAAATTAGAGAATTTGAGATTTTCACATGAAATGAACAAATCTGAGAAAGAACCATCCAAGGTACTTGCATATCAAATTTGAAAACATTCTGACTTGCGGTTTCGAATAAGAAGTTGAAATTGTAAAGTTGACGACGGCGACGGACGACGACGACGACGACGACGGACAATCAGTAATATGAACAGCTCCGCTAATAAAACATGGTATCACGGTCGTTGATAATCGATGGAGTTCTCAACACCTTGGAATCCATTTTCAAAAGATAACCTGAACCCTACGTACCAATCGAGGTATGTAGCGAATCATAGTAAATACGAAATTGTATCTATTTGGTACGAAATTCCATAAAGAAAAGTATAATTAAACACCAACATTTGGCAGGAAAATGAGGGTACAAACGGTTAATTTGGTATAATCCCGGATCCATGCTTCGGAGTGAGTCACGAAGGAAGGCATGGCCGGTAAAAAAAAAATAAGCAATGCAACAAGAATGAGTTTGTTTATACCTCCATGCATGGATATACACAGATTCCAGGTAACAGTAGTTGCCAAGCCTGACTTTTAGTGCTTTT